AATAAAAGCGAAAAATCTAAACATTGATTAATCATCGAACGTATAAGCATATATACTTCATCCATCATGATTCAATCATCATAAAACATATTTTCATAAACATTCAACATCCAGATACATATACAATGCATCACAAAAGAATCATATATCTCCTAGCTACCCGGTGCTACATATCAGAGCCGACCGACCAAAAGAATGAAGACACACTTCACAAAAAGTACTCCAGCAAACCTACTCTGCAATGCCTCATAGAGCATTATAAAACAGCAGAAGGGTGAGAAATATTATCATAATAATCAATGCATATAATTATATAGATATATAACATAAAGATATACATACTCCATGTTCTCACCACATTTCATCATAATTCATTCATATACATCGCAATGTACATATTCACAATTCAAATCATTGCACATAAACATACACATTCATGTTCCTTCACCAATGCATCATTATACGGATGACAAATGCAAATCATAGAGACCGACTCACGACTCTATGCAAATGCAAATGCGGTACCGACTCAATCATCATCAAGTTTACTCAGTAACTTATTGGAACCATCGCTCACACCCCACCTAGGTACATGATGTTCACCCATTGCTCACACCCCACATAGGCACACAATGTTATGGATTGCTCACACCCCACCTGGCACATAATCCGATTGCTCACACCCCACCTTGGGCTCACAATCCGGTTGCTCACACCCCTCATGACACACAACCATCTGTAATTATCGCTCACACCTCCCATGGGCACATGATGTTACAACTGATTCTCACTAGAATCACACAGCACAAGAATGTATATCATAATGCTTCACATGCAAAATGACTCCATACACTTCTTGAAATGCATACATATTCATAATGTTTTCATGCATTTTCATCTCATCTAATCTCATACAATCATTATACATTCACAATGTATATTCCATAATATATATATTCATCATTCATCACATTCTATCGCATACAATTAATATGCATTCACAATACTATGCCAAACGACAACAAACCCCATCACAATCATCATGAATTTTTAATCAATTTAAACAATGCATATATTTGCCAAAAGGCCACGATTCACAATCGATTCCACAATCTAGGATTCACGCCATACGGCTACCCACAACACATCATCCAACAGCACACAAGCTATGTGTTGAAGAATCAAAGCATCAACATTGGATGGAAACAACAAAATAAAACATGTTGTCATGCTCGCTGGCCCACTCGCCTAGCGAAGGCATAGCGAACATTCGCCACTGGCTCGCCTAGCAAAGCCTGCCTTTTTGTTACTGGAAGTGTTCGCTACACAGCTCGCTTAGCTAAGGCTTAGCGAACACTCGCTACCTCACTCGCCTCCAGCGAGATTGGATCATTTGGTTCTACCCAAGTCTGGGACCATTCGCTACTAGCTCGCTAGCAGCTCGCCTAGCGAACCACTCGCTAGCTGCTCGCCTAGCGAGTCCTGCGATCTCTCAAAATCCTCTACTGCCCAAAATATCCAAAACTTCACAAAATCTCCCGATTCAATTCCAACGAGTTTCCATAGTCTTAGCCTAACATTCCTCGACTAAACTACACCATTTACTCCAGATTCTAACCGTTAAAACATCGGTTTCTATCGATTAAACCATTTCTGACCTAGAATGGAAAATGTAGAAAAACACCCAAACAATCCAAACAACACATACATAATCATACACATTGAGAAGATAATAATATTTCACATCCTTACCCGATTAAATCGATTCCTAAGGGTTGATCTTGATGAATCCAAGCTTTCCTCTCTTTTCCTTCTCCTTTCTCTTCTTCCTCTTTCTTTCTCTTCCTTTTTTTTTTAGTTTCTTTTCTTTTTCACTTTCTCTTATATATATTTCTATTCTATTTCTCTCTATGCTATTTTCTTCTCTCAAAATTATCTACCAATTCATATTCTCACAAAATATCCAACTTAACATTAAATAAGAAATGTCTATAATACCCTCCAATCTATTTTCCCCGAACTCTCAAAATCGGTAAAAATAGCCTAATATGCAAACATAACATATTAACACATCAATTCCACAATTTATAATAATAATCTCCCAATTAAATCAAAAAGACTCAACAAAATGGAAAATCAGAATCGGGGCGTTACACAAATCATGGCATAATCAATTCACAAACAAGAAAAAGCATCGAAACTACATTGCAAACGATACGACAACGATCAAAATAGTGAAAAGAGTGAGAATTAACCAACCTACAAGGATGAGATTTGCCTTGGATGTTGTTGTAAATAGATTATGATGAAGATACTCAAAGAAATCTAGAGAAAACAGAATTCACAATCAAACCATAGCAAAACCGAGCAAATTACGACGAAAACTCCAAAGTTGAATTTACACTAAATAAGCTTGAAGTAGTCACTTGAGATGAATCCAAAGCCAATATAACTTCAGAAAAGCAAGAAGAATTAGCAAGATGATAATGGCTAAGCTCAAGAGAAAGCACTTCCAATGAAGAAGTTGTTGCTCTTTAATGGAGAATTCGAGCTCTAGTATGGTTTGAGAAGAAAGAGAAAATGGTTAGGAGTAGAAGTTGTAGAAACTTCATTAAATAAATTGTAAAAATACTTCTTCCACATATTCTTTATATATTTTTTTCCTGAACCAAGACTTTGCCTTCTTCATCTTTAACATACTTCACTTGATCAAATTCTCATGTTTTTATTTCTATTTCCATAGCAAGCCTATAAATAGATTTTTTTTCTCCCTCCTTAGTTGCTAAAGATTATAGATCCTTCAAAATCTTGTGTTCTTGCTTCACTCACTGTCTTCTTGGTCTCATTCTTAGCTTTCTTATACTTTTCCCTAGTTTTGACATTTTTACACCTAAACCATTCTTTAAAACAATCATTTTTTATTATAACTTTACTCTGAACACGTTCATTCCACCACCATAGATCTTTACCCCTAGGTCTGAAATTTTTTTATTCTCCTAACATCTCTTTAGCCATTTTTCTAATCTATTGGGCCATCTTATTCCACATATCATTTTCACTTCCTTTTGGTTGTCCAAACCCTCATTCCAAGATCATGTGTTAGAAACTTCTTTGTTTTTCATCCTTCAAATGCAACCACTTGATTTGTGATGCTCTCATGTGACTTCTTCTCTTTTATCTCTCTTTGATTCTTACATCCATAACTAATACTCTATGTTAGGTAGTCAAGCTATCTCTCATGTAATAACTTTACAGTCCAAGCAAAACTTCATATCTTACATCTTAATTAGAAAGAAGTTATCTGAGAACATGTCACCCTACTTTTATATGTGATAAAATGCTCATCTATTTTCCTAAACTAGGTATTTTCTATAGTAAGATCCAAAGCCAAAAAAAACTCCAAGATTGATTTACTCTCCACATTTACCTCTATTAGACCATACGCACCTCATGGATGTCCTAAAAATCTCTTGCTACGCTTCTGACATGTCCATTTAGATCCCTTTATAGAAAAACTTATCTCCTTAGGGTATATCTTAAAGTAAGCCTTCTAATTCTCCCAAAATTTTACCTTAAGGTGTTATGCTAACCTAACCTGAGGTGCGTAAGCACTAAAAACATTAAAGGTGTCTTGTTCCACTATAAATTTCAAGGCTATGGTTCAACCTCTTACTATTTTCATATCCACAATATCCTTATTTTATTCCATTTCCATAATAATCTCCACCTCATTTCTCGATCTAACTTTTCCGGTGCACCAAACCTCAAATTTTGAGTTGTCTAATTTTTTTGCTTCTTCACCTGTCCATATATTTTTCAACAAGTGATCCAAAACGAATAATACTCTCATGAACTAACTTCATTATCCACACCCGTTCATGAAAATGTGGGAACCCTTGCTTAGTTTTCATCTAGGTGACGATGCATCGACCCTTACTCTTTTGACATTGTACTCGAGTCATAAAGCGTGTTACTTACGGTAATGACCTATCACTCACATTATTTCGTAGTTGATCTATATCATAGAGATTAAACAAAGATTTACGTTGGGTGTCGAGTGTCTAACACAGCCCTCTCCTTTTATTCAGACTTGAGAGTGGCTATGCATAATAAAACTAACATAAACATGAGTCTAGAGGTAGACGTAGAGTCAGCATAAATGCAAGATTTCAAAGTAGGAAGAAAACCAATGCTAAACCCCAAAGTATTCACAATTTGATTGAGTCTAGAGGTAGACATATAGCCAACATGAATGCAAGATTTTGAAGTACTAAAAGGTATATCTTAAGCATAAATGTAAGATAACTGAGGTGAACATGTGATATATCCGTCGGTGAAATAACAAAATTGAGGGGACATGTGTTTTCACCATTTCAAAATTCTAAAAAGGTTTCACTAAGGATGAAACCCATGGCCTTTAATCATACATGTATGTATTTTTAAAGCTAGAGGTAAAATATACATTTTTCATGATGTCCTTCATTACCTCGCCTATAAAATTAAATAAGATCTCTTTTTCAACCGAAATAAAAGGCGTTATTTGTTATAGTACCCTCTCGATCCTTTTATTCATACTTGAGACCAACTATGCGTATTAAAACTAACATAATGATGATTCTTATTTAATATAATCACTTGAAAATAATAAAAATTATAACTAAAAACTATTAATCGATACTTATTCAATTCGTTTTCAAATACGTCAACAAGTATATTTAAGATTGAAATTATGTCAAACTCAAATAGTTGAACTTATTATTCTCTAATGAGATAAAACATAGCACATTGTTTTTCACATTATTATGTAACTTGTCTAATGTTAAAAACAATACAAACATTAAACACACGCAATACACAACCTTACAACAAAATGAAAGATAAACTTAAAATGAGTGTCATTTGCTCTAATAAACTTCCACAATAGATGGCAATATCCTTGCCCCTCCACTTGTTGTTATAATTATAAAATAGAATTCAAATTGCTTTGAGTTGTTTCAACTTCAAGCTAACAAACGCTTTCGGATCTGCAAGGACATATAAATAAACATCTTGATCAACCTTAATCAACTTTTTTCACGTAAAAATTAAGATATTCTGTTGAAATAAATGTAAGATATAATGAACATGCCTCAGGTAACTTCTGTCGAAAAATGACATCAAGTCGCGCATCAAGAGTACTCTCCAACACAATCTTTCCATCGTCAGAGGCCAATACTACTCCTCCAGAACTGCATATAAATATAACCATTACGTGTTAGTATCTACGAAGCATAGACACATACACATACACAGACACTAGACACCGGATACGATACAGACATAAACACACTTTTTTACAGAAGTGTCGTAGATGTTAGTATAATACTTCTATCTCATGGTAATTTAATCAACCATAAATAAAAAGAATGATATACCAAAAAATTTCGTGTGAATCCGCAGCATTATTTTTCGGCTGTGGTGGAAGGTAAACACGATCATCAAGAACAATCGTAGGAGGTTGAACCTTAGCTTTCTCTGAGTATTCCTTTTTAGCTTCCTCTAGCAGTGACTCGACTAGTTTACGATCAGTCTCTCGACATCGTAGTAATAGAGATGATTCTCTCATGCGTAGTAAACCCTAAAATACATGCAATAAGAATAAAGTAAGAGTTGATATATACAAGAAAACAATAAACAACTGTGTTTTTCTTTATACCTGAATGATAATTTCTTTGATGAGTTTCCTGTATGCTTTCTTATCACTTGAGATGCGTACAAGTCCTTTTTTAGCAGCATCTTTCATAGAACTTACAACCTCATCTTGTGCTTGAAGTACTTTTATACGAGATGCATTCAACTGCATTGAGTATTCGCTGCTCATATACAAATAAACAAAGTTTCGTAAATATTTTCGTAAAATTTCTAATAATTGAAACATATTTCAAAACTCACATCTTTCTACGAACATCGATCTGTTTGGCTTTTCGCTCGTATTCTTGTCTGATCTTTCTCTTTTCAGCTTCAAGTAATTGCAGTTTCTCGATATTGAATTCCTATAATGAATCGTAAGTCATAACAATAGTTATTGAAATTTGAATACAAAAATGAAAAAAAGAGAAGAACAAACCTCTTCTGCAGCAACAGATATTTCATTAGCTTTCTCTTCAGCTTCTTGGCGGATGAACCTAATCATCTGCTGGATCTGCTTTGATACATCTGCATCCTTCATTTTTTCTACTTGAAATGAAAGTTACTATTCTGGTTCCAACACAATATGGCACTAGTAACTTATGTGCTAAATCTGTTTTAAATTGATATATGTGATGTGTGATAATTAACAAAAATGTAAAATTTAAATGAGAAAATAATGAAAATATAAAGCTAATTATTATCCTTCATCCACTTGTTAAGTCAAGAACCATATAATCATCAATTTGTGCATTGGTTTCGGATTGTTGAGAGATTAGATCTTGAATAAATTTATCCTATTTTAGGAATATTGAACAAGCAATGGGAAAAAGTTATAAAGTAGTTATTCTAACCCAATATAAGACACACATTTCACTAAACCTCCTCAACACTAAAGGATAAAATTGATGAAATAGAAAGGTTGATATAGTATATAGGTACTATGTAAAAAGTTTAAATCAAAGAAAAGATTACATTCGTCACCAAATATAATTATAAAATAATACATCAAAAAATTGATACAATAGATAGACTATCCTACTCAAAAAAAATTTAATATTAACTATTTCTCACAACATTTTAATACAAAAATATAAAAAAATAAAAGTTAAATATAAATTTAAAGTGTTTTTTAATGTTGTATTTTATAATAAAGAATTAGATTTCATTATACAACTTTGTACTCTCTATCTTTTTTTTTCAAAATTAAATGATGTGAGATTATTTCTATACATATTTTGAACCACCAACAATCTCCACCTTAGTTGAAAATGATACACATGCTTCCATCGTCTACATAGATAATCATAGTTATAAAGACTATGATACAAGACCATAAAGAATATACTTACTTGAAGCTACGTCACTCTAAATATATATATATATATATATATATATATATATATATATATATATATATATATATATATATATATATATATATATATATATATATATATATATATATATATATATATATATATTATCTTTACCGACAATCCGCTATTACGAATAAGTGATTTTACTTTAGTTAATAAAGTGATTTAACATTGGTTTCATAGGTGAGGTAAAGAAACCTATAATGGAAAGTGAGTCACTTTTTCTTTTCAAGCGCGCCCCATATTTCCTCATATAATCGAAAGAATAAGATGAGACTTTTTACCTCGGTTTTATTTATAACCTAAGCATAAATTGAGACTTTTGAACCTAAATCATTTTGAAAAAGAACATAATGGTTATTACACAACCTAAATATAACCTAATAAGAACAAAATGGATAGCGCAAACTGAAAATTCTTGACTAGAACATACTAAAATGGACAAAACCCAAAGTGCAAATTCTTAAACAGACATCCTAAAGTATTTATCTGTGAATGACATCCAGTCGTTAAACACCTATAATTTGAATAACATATAAAAATGATTACGTTACCACAACAACAACAACAACAACATTAAACCTTTAATAACAACAACATTAATCATTCAATCTCAATAAATATATATTACTAAGTCCTTTAAAATACTTGTACATCATCTAAGAATATGATATACATCATCTAAAAAGTCCTTTAAAATACTTGTACATCATCTAAAAATACTTGTACCCCTTCTTTATGATCATAACAAAAAACATGCACATCATCTAAATCATTTTCTTCATATGAGATACGCGTGTGATTTGCGAAAGAAAGAGTCTTAGAAATATCAAGACTTAAATCTTGATTTTCATCACTATCAAGAATATGTTTTCCTTGCATAATAATTGACCATCTATTGTAAGAAGGTCCAGTGACATAAAAAAAAACTCTTTTTTTTGCTTGGGATGCCATGATGAATGGTTCATTCATATAAGTTGTCATGCGAAGGTTAACCTATGTGAATCCTAATTCAACGATTTGTACATCAGTATTGTTGTCAATACACTTACACTCAAATAAAGGCATTTAAAACATAACATAATCAATCTCGCAAATCTCCTCAATGACCCAAAAATACGATCTAGATGCCATTACGAGATTCTTATATTTGGAACTAGAGAATTGCATGGATTCAGCCTCAACCATAACCCCACTATTTTGCATGGTAGTACCATCTTCCTTAGATTTTGTATAGAATCCAAATTTACTAATGTCGTATGAACTCCAAGTTATTACATTATACTTAGGCATATATGACATTCATTTAATTGTCTAAAATGAACAACTATATTTAGAAACTTTTTCATTAAACCAATTTATGAAATATTTGTTACGCTCCGTCAACAACCATTTTTCACTCATATGGGAGAAATTTTCCTTGATAAGCCTTTTGTGTGCAGATAAGTAAGGTTGAACATAATCAATATTATTCAATAAATACAAATGTGCTTGACGAACTAAATCTTTGGCTATTGTCTTAACATTTAAAGCTTTAGTACCTTTACCTTCATATCTTTCATTATGATGATACTTTGGAATTCCTATAGAGTCTTCTTTTAAAAAATAGTTTAAAGAAAACCCAATAGCTTCTTTTGTGATATACCTTTCAATGATCGAAACTTCTGGACGGTGGTGATTCTTCGTATACACTTTAAAGATCTTCATTCTTGGAATTAAACCAATCTTGGAGAATTCCGAATCAATCTTGATGAACAAGATTCAATCAACCGATCAAAATTCTCTCTTGTTCTTCACTATTCACTCGAGTGAATCAATCACACCTTGATTGTAAGAATGATTCTGCGCATCAATTGTTAATGGAAGAAGAAAGAAAAATTGAATTGGGAAGAAAAGGGAATTAGGATTTGAACCAAATATGAAAGGAGATAACTTCTGCAAAGTTTCTCTCTGCTATTCAAAACTGAATATTATTCTTTCCAACTGCAAACTTATTGTTCAATAATAGGGGTTACTCCCTGTTTATAGATTTTAGTTTGTTTGCTCCCTAAGAAAAGATCAAAAATACAAAGCCCAAAAATACCTAATTCTACTAACACTACAAAATTAGGCCTAAGTCGAAATTCATGTCGGGGCTAACTCCTTCGACACTTTGATAACTACACAACTCATACACACTAGATTATTTCGACACTACCTTATTTTTGTCGAGCAACCTATTTCGACACAAGGAATTACATTCTCAAAACACCACCTAATTCATTGTGTCCAATCTATCTATATTCATTATAGACTTTAACTTCTTAAACACTTAGACTTGCACTCTTTTCGTCATGTGTTGCACCCTAAAATTTGACCAACCGGTTCTCCTATCTGGTTCATGGTTCAATTCGTATTCGCATATCAGATGCATGACATTTGTGCACAGACAGAGGATGTCAGGGTTACAGCTTGGGTTTCATCTACCGGATATTTCAGATCCAGTCTAGATAATCAGGGTTTTATTTTCGGGAAATTGTGCGCTTCTCGGTGTTTTCAGCTTACATGGTGGTTTTTGGGATATTCTGATGCCAGGGGTTTACTGTTTGCTTCGATTTGGTTTCGCGTTTTTTATATTGGTTATTTGCATTTGTCTGCATTTTTGTAAGGATTTTATAGCCTTTTGTGGATTTTTAATAGGCTTTATAGATTTTTTTAGAATTTAAATAGATTTTTTATATTTTTAATAACTTTAAGTCTTTTTTAGAATTTAAATTGTTTTAAATAGATTTTATAATGATTTTCTTTTAGAATATAATAGTTTTTGGATAATAGAAATAAGTAGAGTTTATTTTAATATAGATTTAATCTTTTGTTAGATATTCCTTTTATTAGGTTTAATATAGGATTTAATAGTTTTAAATAAATGGTATAGATTTTTAATAGGATTTTAATAGTTTTTTAAATAGAAATTAGTAGAGTTTAGAAATTAATTTGGTTTAATAGAGTTTAGCTAGATTTTAATCATTTTAGATTTAATTAGGGTTTAATTAGGTTAATTAGGATTTAATCTTTTGTTTAGAATTTAATTGAATTTGTTAGAATTAATTAGGATAGTTAATTGTCATTTAGATTTAATTACAGTTTAATTTTAGTTAGAGTTTAATCACTAGTTAATTAGGTTTAGTTTTAATTAGTCTAATTGAGTTTAATCAGTTTTAATTCAGATTTTTTTTTGGGGTCTTATTAGTCTTTTTTCGTTCTGGGCCCAGGTTAGTTTTTGGAGGCCCAAATCAGTATTGGTCCGTTTTGCTCCATTTTTTTGTCCAGGAAAATTTGCATGCGCCACTTATCAAGTATAAAGCGTTCCACGCGTTCAACCCTGAGGCCCCCACGCACTGCCACCTCATTTTCCACCAACACTCAGAAATCTGCCACATACGTCCCCCACTATCTCTCCGCACACCCACGTGTAACGCATGCGAAGCTCCCCCTGCCACCTCCCAACGCACGTGGCATCGCCTCATCCTCGCCGGAGCACCTCGTCGCCGTCCCGGACGCCCCCCTCCACCGCAACGGCCACCGGAGACCGTTGAAGACGCCGGAAACTGCAAAAACTCCAGAATTCGTCCAAACGCATCGCATCTTCATCGTCCACCTTCATCAACGGTCACCGGAAAGCTCAAACTCCGCCGAAAAATTCATACGAACTCATCCATTTTCCCAACGATTCTTCATCTTGTTCATCATTTTCCCAGCATTTCTTCACCGGGTTTATCATTTTCCCAGCGATTCTTCACCTGGTTTATCAACCTCCAGAAATCAACCTTCATCTCCTTCACAATTTCCAGATTTGTTCTTCGATCTTGTTCACCTCTCTCCGATCATCAGCGATCATCCTCTACCTCCATAGACTCTCCAGTACCTTTTCCAGAAATCACCACTCATCATCATCAAGAACATGCAAGGCCTCCTCTGATCAACCTTCAACCACGATTCACCCAATATTTCACCAGATCCATACAAGATTCGTCAATTCCAAGATCTGTAAGATCTTCATCAAGATCTCATCACAGTTCATCACTAAGAGTTGTTCTTCGCGTCATCAATCTTCAGCAAATCTCCAGAAATCTTCAAGATCGCCACGAGCTCGTTTGAAATTCTTCAAAGCTTCATTGTTTCC